TGGAGGAAGAATGTGGCCACCAAGAGTGCACACCTGGGCATGGGACTGCCTTAGTTCCAAGCCCACTCTGCCGCCTCATTCCTCGGGTACTCTGCCTCGGGTGGGTCTCCTCATCTGTCTGTGAGATACTGATAGCACCATATTGTAGGGTGGTCCAGGAGATAAATGTACTAACACATATAAGCAGCACAGACTAGTACTGCATAACAAATGACATATTATTATCACTACATGGGATCCTGGGGACTTTGCAGCTCAGTTGATGAAAGAAATACTGATCTAAACTGAGAATGAGTGTACAGAAAGCAAATGTGCAGAGAATTTGCCTGCTTGCTCCACTCCTCAGTATTTTTTTTATTATTTTTTTGAGACGGAGTCTCACTGTGTCACCCAGGCTGGAGTGCAGTGGCGTGATCTCGGCTCACTCTAGTCTCCGCCTCCTGGTTTCAAGTGATTCTCCTGCCTCAGCCTCCCGAGTAGTTAGGACTACAGGCGTGCACCACCACGCCTGGCTAATTTTTTGTATTTTTAGTAGAGACGAAGTTTCACCATGTTGGCCAGGCTGGTCTCAAACTCCTGACCTCAAGCAGTCCACCCACCTCGGCCTCCCAAAGTCCTGGGATAGCAGGCGTGAGCCACCATGCCTGTTGCTTCCTTCCAGAAGGCTCCTTGGTGGGGTTAGGTGCCCTCTCCCTCACCCCATCATAAGCATGCTGTCTCGTCACTCTCAGTAGAGGGCTGTGAGAGGGTCGCTCTGTGTCTGTATTGTGGGCGCCCTGTGCAGGGCTGGCCCAGTAGTGCTCTGTTAAGTGTCTGTTGGCATCTGGTCTTAGAGGCTTCTAAGTGGTGGAGATTATAGGGAGACCTTGTATGGTGGCTCAAAGTTTGGAGAATTTTGACATTAGAGGATCCAGATGCAAATTCCGGTGCCACTCCCGTAGTTCCAATCACATTTCCCCTCTAAACCTGGACATGCACGTCCATCTGTGGAATGGGGGAAACCTCAAGCCTCAGGTCCCTGTGATGACAGGAATGAATGCACATTGTCGTCCATGGGCGCTAGATGGGCAGGAATAACTTGGCCAGCCGGAATTCTGGGTGTAGTCAGGTTCCAGAGTTGTTATGGAAGGCAAGGGTGGAGCATGATCAATATTATCCTTAGGAAGGCGCCGTGGTGGAGACTAAGCTCTATGTGTTCATTCAGTCCAGAGGAGCTCGTTTTCCCTGTGCTTTGCAATAGATTGCTGGTTAAGGTCTCCAGATGAGCAGCGGGCTTTTAGGGGCCTTTTTTTTTTTTTTTGAGATGGCGTCTCACTCTGTCACCCAGGCTGGAGTGCAGTGCTGCGATCTCAGCTCACTGCAGCCTCCACCTCCCAGGTTCAAGCAGTTCTCCTGCCTTAGCCTCCTGAGTAGCTGAGATTACAGGCATGTGCCACCATGCTTGGCTAATTTTTGTACTTTTTAGTAAAGACGGGGTTTCGTCTTGTTGGCCAGGCTGGTCTCGAATTCCTGACCTCAGCTGATCCACCTACCTTGGCCTCCCAATGTGCTGGGATTACAGGCATGAGCCACCGCACCTGGCTAGGGGCCATTTTGTAGGGAAATGTGTTTGTGTGTGTGTGTGATTTCTTTCTTTCTTATTTATTTATTTATTTTTTTTTGAGACAGAGTTTTGCTTCGTTGTCCAGTCTGGGGTTCAGTGGTGCCATCTTGGCTCACTGCAACCTCTGCTTCCCGGGTTCAAGCAATTCTTGTGCCTCAGCCTCCTGAGTAGCTGGGATTATAGGCGCCTGCTACCACGCCCAGCTGATTTTTTGTATTTTAGTAGAAACGAGGTTTCACCATCTTGCCTAGGCTGGTCTCAAACTCCTGAGCTCAGGCAATCTGCCTGTCTCGGCCTCCCAAAGTGCTAGGATTACAGGCATGAGCCACTGTGCCTGGCTGTTTTTTTTTTTTTTTTTTTCTGTCACCCAGGCTGGAGTGCAGTGGCAAGATCTCAGCTCACTGCAGCCTCCGTCTCCTGGGCTCAAGCGATTCTCCCACCTCAGCCTCTCAAGCAGCTGGGACTACAGGTTCATGCCATCACGCCCGGCTAGTTTTTGCATTTTTTTTTTTTGTAGAGGCGGGATTTCGCTCTGTTGCCTGGGCTATTTTTTTTTTTTTGATACGGAGTCTCGCTCTGTCGCCCAGGCTGGAGTGTAGTGGCGCGATCTCGGCTCACTGCAAGCTCCGCCTCCCGGGTTCACGCCATTCTCCTGCCTCAGCCTCCCGAGTAGCTGGGACTACAGGCGCCCACAACCGCGCCCGGCTAATTTTTTGTATTTTTAGTAGAGACGGGGTTTCACCGTGGTCTCGATCTCCTGACCTTGTGATCTGCCCGCCTCGGCCTCCCAAAGTGCTGGGATTACAGGCGTGAGCCACCGCGCCCGGCCAACCTGGGCTATTCTTAAACTCACGGACTCAAGCAAGCCACCCGCCTCGGCTTCCCAAATGCTGGGATTATAGGCCTGAGCCACTGCGCCCAGCCGTGTGTACTTGTTCAACACCAGAACCCCACGCAGCACAGTGGGTGTGGTGCCTGCTGCAGCATTCCCCACTGACACCGTCGCACGACCCGTGGGGAGCTGTGGGTCCTCACCTCCCATTTCCCAGACGCCAGCTCCTGTGTGCAATGGGGTGGGATTGCCTGCTCCATTTATGTGGTTATTTCTCTCTCTTTTGAATTGTGGTAAAATATACAGAACATCGTATTTACCATTTTGGCCAATTGTAAGTGTAAATTTAATGGCATTAAATCATTCACAAGTGTGTAGCCATCACCACTGTCTACACCTCAAAGTTTTTATCCTCTACAAAAACTCTGTACCCACTAAACAATAACTCCCCGTTTCCCCTTTCTAACCCCTGGAAACCTCTATTCTACTTTGCACTTCTATGATTTCAGCTACTCTGGCTACTTCAGGTGAGTGGAATTATACAATATGTATTATTTTGTGTCTGGCTTATTTTACTTTACATAATGTTTTCAGGATTCATCCGTGTAGCTTGTGTCAGAATTGCCTTCCTTTTGATTCCTTTTTCTGGTGGAATATTTTAGTGTGTGGATATACCACATTTTGTTTATGCATTCATCTCTTTTTTTTTTTTTTTTTTGAGGTGGAGTCTCACTCTGTTATCCAGGCTGGAGTGCAGTGGTGTGATACCAGCTCACTACATCCCCTGCCTCCTGGGTTCAAGTGATTCTACTGCCTCAGCCTCCTGAGTAGCTGGCATTACAGGTGCACACCACCAAACCCGGCTAATTTTTGTGTTTTTAGTGAGATGAGGTTTCACCATGTTGGCCAGGCTGGTCTTGAACTCCTGACTGACCTCAAGTGATCTGCCTGCCTCGGCCTCCCAAATATTCTTTCATCGATTGATGAACACTTGAGTTGTTTCCACACTTTGGCTACTGCGAGTATATAAATATCTCCCTGAGTCCCTGCTTTGAGCTTTTTTGGGGTGTATACCTATGAGCAGAATTGCTAGGTCCTAGGGTATGTCTATGTTTAACCTTTTGAGAAACTGGCAAACTGTTTTCCACGCTGGCTGCACCATTTTACATTCCCACTAACAATGCACAAGGCTTCTAACTTCTCCAGTCCTCACCAGCACTTGTTATTTTCCATGTTTTAAAATTATAGCCATCTTAGTGTGTGTGGAGTTTTCTTACCCTCTTATTCCTCATATAAGGGAGACTTGTTTTGTCTAGGTGACGTGCATCTACGAAACAGTTCCACTGTAATGGTGGGCACTTCCTCAGACTGCCTTTTCATTCTACTGTTAATACATATGAAATGTTGCAAATAAACACATCAAACATTCCTATTAAAAATTTGAACAAATTTTAGGCCAGGCACAGTGGCGTACACCTGTAATCCCAGCACTTTGGGAGGCAGAGATGGGCAGATCACTTGAGGCCAGGAGTTCTAGACCAGCCCAGCCAATATACTAAAACCCTGTCTCTACTAAAAACACAAAATTTAGCCAGGTGTGGTGGTACACACCTGTAGTTCCAGTTCTCAGGAGGCTGAGGCAGGAGAATTAGCTTGAACCTGGAAGGTGGAGGCTGCAGTAAACAGTGATTGTGCCACTGCACTTCAGCCTGGGCGATAGAGTGAGACTCTATCTCAAAAAACAACAAAAAACGTATTTTAAAACAGATTAAATTTTTTTTTTCTTTCGGGATGGAGTCTCACTGTGTCATCCAGGCTGGAGTGCAATGGCGTGGTCTCTGCTCACTGCAACCTCCGCCTCCCAGGTTCAAGCGATTCTCCTGCCTCAGCGTCCCCAGTAGCTGGGACTACAGGCGCACGCCACCACACCCAGCTAATTTTTGCATTTTTGGTAGAGATGGGGTTTCACTGTGTTGGCCAGGCTGGTCTCGAACTCTTGACCTTGTGATCTCCCTGCCTTAGCCTCCCAAAGTGCTGGGATTACAGGTGTGAGCCATGGTGCCCGGCCCAGATTTTAAATTTTAAACAGAGTGAAAGTACCCTTTGAATGCCTCCCTGTTTCTGGCCCCTCCCCAGCCTGCTGTCAGGCAGTATCTCTCTTGAGTTTTCCATGCGTTCACAGACGCTTGTGAACATGTATGAAGGCGTAGTTTTCCATTTTTTTATGCAAAAGTATTGTGCCATTTTTATTGTTCAATGACTTGGGGGTTTTTTTGTTGTTGTTTTTTACTGACCAAATCAACAGTCTTTCCATGTTGGTATTTGTAGAACTGTCTCATTCTTGTATTTTTGTTTATTCCATAGTGTTGTGGGGTGTATTGTACTTACTATTAAGTACAGAAATGATGTGTGGCACTGGCTATTGTTAAGAACAATGTACGTCCCGATTCAGCATCTGGACATCCGGCCTCTGTTTTCACACTCGTGCAGAGCTCTGGGCTCACGTCCAGAGGTCAGTTTCCTGCTGAGCATGCCTTGTTGACCTCCTGTATTGCCTCTTTGCAGGCCAAGAATAAGGAGACGGGTACTTTGGCTGCAGCCAAAGTCATTGAAACCAAGAGTGAAGAGGAGCTGGAGGACTACATCGTGGAGATTGAGATCCTGGCCACCTGTGACCACCCCTACATCGTGAAGCTCCTGGGAGCCTACTATCACGACGGGAAGCTGTGGGTGAGGCTGCCGCCCCACCTGCCCCGGCTTAGCCCCCATGGCCTGGTGCTCTGGAGCTAGCCTGGTCCTGAACTCTTCAGCTCTTTCTCAGCATCTGCTTTGAGGGCGAGGGCTAGGGCAAGGAGATGGTGAAGTAGGGAGCTTCTGGCCACCTGCTCTCCTCTTCCTGTGGTGCCTCCCCCTTGGGAGTAGCACCAGTGATTTGGAGCAGAAAGCTCTACTGCCTGGCCTCGAATCCCAGCCCTGCTGTTTACGAGCTCAATAATCCTAACCAAGTTCCTAACCTCTCCATACCTTAGTTTCTCCACCTGTAAGGTGGGGCTAATAATAGTACCTAGCTCATAGAGTGATTACTGCAATGAAGTGAGTTAATTTATGATACGTGCTTAGAAGAGTGCTGGGCACATGTAAGAGCCCAGGAAGTGTTGGCTGTTTTATTATTTGTCACAGTAGCACTACTTCTGCTACTGCTACAGCTGCTACATGGAGATCCTTCTCGATGGCTGTACTAAAGAAGGGGACTCGACCAGCCTGGGCAACATGGTGAAACCGCATCTCTACTAAAAATACAAAAATTAGCTGGGCATGGTGGCACGTGTCTGTAGTCCCAGCTATTTGGGAAGCTGAGGCAGGAGGATCGCTTGAACCCCAGAGGCGGAGGTTGCAGTGAGCTGAGATAGCACCACTGCACTCCAGCCTGGGCGACAGAGCGAGAGTCTGTTTCAAAAAAAAAAAAAGAAAAAAAAAAGGCGGGGGCTCTTTACCAGTCCCCTATTCTCCATCAGCATCCTCACCCTTTGATGAGCAGTGTGGATGCAGCTTCAAGCCCTGTCTTCCAAACTCAGCAACACCCCTCAACTTCTTCTTTTTTTTTTTGAGACGGAGTCTCGCTCTGTTGCCCAGGCTGGAATGCAGTGGTGTGATCTTGGCTCACTGCAAGCTCTGCCTCCTGGGTTCAAGTGATTCTCCTGCCTCAGCTTCCTGAGTAGCTGGGATTATAGGCATGCGCCACCACGCCCAGCTAATTTTTGTATTTTTAGTAGAGATGGGGTTTTGCCATGTTGGCCAGGCTGGTCTCAAACTCCTGACCTCAGGTGATCTGCCAGCCTCACTCAGCCTCCCAAAGTGCTGGGATTGCAGGTGTGAGCCACCATGCCCAGCCCTCTTCATTTTTTTGAATTCTTCCAAAGAACTCTATCTTCTGACTGCCCTTCTCTATTGTTGGGCATTTAGGCTGTTTCCTTTTCTTTCTTTCTTTTTTTTTTTTTTGCTGTTATATACAACTCTGTGATGGACACCTTTGGATTTGTTTTGTGTTCTTGTTTGAGAGTTTTCTTATGAGATTTTTTTTTTTTTTTTTTGAGATGGAGTCTCACTCTGTTGCCCAGGCTGGAGTGCAGTGGCGTGATCTCAGCTGACTGCAACCTCCACCTCTCAGGTTCAAGCAATTCTCCTGCCTCAGCCTCCTGAGCAGCTGGGACTACAGGTACCCACCCCCATGCCCGGCTGATTTTTATATTTTTAGTAGAGACGGGGTTTCACCATCTTGGTCAGGCTCTTCTCAAACTCCTGACCTCAGGAGATTCACCCGCCTCAGGTGTCCAAAGTGCTGGGATTACAGGCATGAGGCACTGTGCCTGGTGAGAATTTTTAAGATTCTTAAGTGTCTATTGACAAACTGGCCTCACAGAGCCACTTTTGATATTAACCAAAGGAGATCTCCCATTGACCCACCCACCCACCTAGCCACCCACTTTCCTGTCCATTCATCTTCCTCTGTGTGCATACAGCATTTGTTGGACTGCTGACTCTGTACCCATTAAGAAAAATATCTATTATGTTTCTGTTCCTGTTATTGATTGTGGCTGGATACCAGGTTCATAACTTTCCCAGGTCCAAAGATACTACTCATAATAGCTAGCATTTATTGAGAGTTTACTGTGTGCTGGGCCTTTTGCTGTGAGTTTCACTTGCATTATGTGGTTTAATCTTCATTCTGTGAGGTTGTTGCTTTTTATCCCATCTTACAAGAGAAAATGAGAAACAAAAAAGCTATGTGAGCTGCTCCCCAGGCCACGCAGCTAGCAAGTGGCAGAGCTGGAAAACCAGATAGAGCCAAACACAGTTTGTAAGTAGATTGTGACTGTCATGCTGTTATTTAAATAAATACATTAGACTTTTCTGTCCCGAAGTTGTCACTTTAGGCTGGTGCTTTCTCCTCCAGGCCCACTGCTGTGGCCAAGACCATTTCTTACCCTCCTCTTTTGTAGCTGCCCTGACAGCCTGCATTTGTTACTTTGTAGAAGGCACTACCTCCTCCAATTTGCGTTTAGACACTGAGATCAAAGAGGGTGGCCCTGGAGCTGGGTAGATAAAGAGGGGGAAGGGATGGCAGGAGAGACAGCATGGGCAGCGGTGTGGGGGCACGACAGGTTCAGCACGTTTGGGAGATGGCTAGTCTAGGGCCAGGGCAGCAGGTGGTGAAAGATAAGGGTGGTAAAGTAATTGGGGGCCATGCTGTAGAAGGCCCCCATGCCAAAGTGAAGACTTTGCCCTCAATCTTTTGCTGCAGTGGTTCTCAAAGTACAACCCTTGGATCAGCACATCAGCCTCAGCTGGAGCTTTGTTAGACATGCAGGTTATCAGACCCCTCCTGAGGCCCATTGAGTCAGTAACTTTGAGGTGAGGCCCAGCAACTGGCGTTTTAAGGTAGGCCCAGCAATCGAAGTGACTCTGATGCGCGTTTAAGCTTGAGAATTACTGTTTTCAGTAATGGAGACCTAGTGGTACTTTTCTGCAGGGGAGAGGCATATTCTGTGTTATAGAAAGAAGTCCGGTTTGAGAGGACAAGAGAAAAACTTGAGGCAGTTTGAGAAGTGGTAAGAATAGACTAGGCCAGGAGCCCAAGGATGTGATGTGGAACATCATCTGGTCAAGGGAGGCTTCAGAGGAAGGGACATTTGAATGGGGTCTTGCAGGATGCATAGGAGTCCTCTGGGGAGATAAGAGAAGGAAGAACAGTCAAAGTAGAGGGACCAGCAAATGGGCAGAAGCGTAGAAGGGAGAAGTCCAGAAATACAGGTTGAAGGATGCACCAACCCTTTGATATTTCCTTCTGTGTGATGGTTCTCAGGCCCATCTTGTGACCAGGCCTGGGCTTCTGTGTGGCTCTAGGAGCCAACTTTTCCATGTTGATATCTTTGACAAAATCAGTTCTGGACCTGGGGTCTGCTCTCAGGGACTTTGGGATGAGAAACTGGCTGTTCCCCAAGTGTCTTGAGTGCCTTCTGTAGCCATGGCTGGCAGGGACAGACTTTCCCCCGAGTGGGGTGGAGGTCATTCACCACCCCACCCCATGTGCAATTTGACAAGATTAGCTCATTTTTTTTTTTTTTTTTTTTTTTTTTTTGAGACGGAGTCTCGCTGTGTCTCCCAGGCTGGAGTGCAGTGGCGTGATCTCGGCTCACTGCAAGCTCCGCCTCCCGGGTTCACGCCATTCTCCCGCCTCAGCCTCCCAAGTAGCTGAGACTACAGGCGCCCGCCACCACGCCTGGCTAGTTTTTTGTATTTTTAGTAGAGACGGGGTTTCACCATGTTAGCCAGGATAGTCTCGATCTCCTGACCTCGTGATCCACCCGCCTCGGCCTCCCAAAGTGCTGGGATTACAGGCTTGAGCCACCGCGCCCGGCCAAGATTAGCTCATTTTTGTTCAGAATTTGTAATCATGGCAAAATCCGTCTGTACTTCCTTATCACTACTTCCACTTTTGAATATCAAGTGGTGCAAGTTGGAGAAAAACAAGCGAAAATGCTCTAGACCAGTAGAACTATAATGTGAGCCACATGCATCATTTTACATTTCTTTTCTTTTCTTTTCTTTTTTTTTTTTGTGATGGAGTTTTGCTCCTGTTGCCCAGGCTGGAGTGCAATGGCGCAATCTCGGCTCACCACAACCTCCACCTCCTGTGTTCAAGCAATTCTTCTGTCTCAGCCTCCCAAGTAGCTGGGATTACAGGCATGTGCCACCACGCCTGGCTAATTTTGTATTTTTAGTAGAGACAGGGTTTCTCCATGTTGGTCAGGCTGGTCTTGAACTCCCAATCTCAGTTGGTCTGCCTGCCTTGGCTTCCCAAAGTGCTGGGATTCAGGTATGAGTCACTGCGCCCAGCCTACATGTATCATTTTATATTTCTAACAGCCACATCCAAAAGAGCAAAAAGAAACAGATGAAATTAGTTTCAATAATATAATTTGTTTAACCCAGTATATAAAAATATGATCATTTTGACGTGTGATCCATATAAACAGTTATTGAGCTATTTTACTTTTTTCATTCTAAGTCTTCAAATCTAGTGTGTATTTTACACTTTTAGCACATCTCAATTCAGGAGTTAATTTTCATCAGAAATCCTTGATCTGTGTTTAGATGTCTTATAGTCGAGAAAGGTAGATTCACACACCCAAATTGTTCCAATATTCTTTTTTTTTTTAAGACGGAGTCTCGCTCTGTCACCCAGGCTGGAGTGCAGTGGCCGGATCTCAGCTCACTGCAAGCTCCGCCTCCCAGGTTCACGCCATTCTCCTGCCTCAGCCTCCCGAGTGGCTGGGACTACAGGTGCCTGCCGCCTCGCCCGGCTAGTTTTTTGTATTTTTAGTAGAGACGGGGTTTCACCGTGTTAGCCAGGATGGTCTCGATCTCCTGACCTCGTGATCCACCCGTCTCGGCCTCCCAAAGTGCTGGGATTACAGGCTTGAGCCACCGCACCCGGCCTCCAATATTCTTAAACGTTTCCCAGTAACTGAACCAAGTCTCAGTTTTCAAATTTAAATGAATTAGAAGAGAATGGAATAATACATTTAGGTCTCTACCCTTGCCACATTTTGAACACTCAGTAGCACGTGTGTTAGTGCCTCCTGTATTGGACGGCATAGACAGTGAAACTCTAGATGACAGCCAGGGCCCAAAATGAGTGACTGCAAGAAGGCCTGGGCTGATCTGGT